TGCGTATTATCAAATCTGTGAGAGCATCGACGGAGTGAAACAGGAGACGCTTTGATAGCGTAAATTATTGCAAATGTATGAATATTTATGAATGATTGTAATCTATTATCTATTAATGCATATGTATGTATATGGATGTGTGTATATGTAAATGCATATGTATATGCATGTATGTGGATGTGTGTGTATGTAAATGCATGTATGCATATGTATAAGTATGTATATATATGAATACGTATGTATATTCCGCCGGACCATGGGTGTACCTCAGCATTCATAATTTTTCGGTATACTCAATTCAGATCACGTGAACATGAAAATTACTGGAACGAAAGAGAAATATGTTAGAGAAATTATTTGTAATTTAAACTCTTAATCACACAAAAATATAAATGTAATCATAAGGAATACATATTACTCTGGGAGTAAAATTATAAATGGATGAGTAGTACACAATATTTGTGAGGAATAATTAACAACTCTAATTTAACAAAATTTAACAGCGTTGTACGAAGGAAAAAGAAAAAAACTTGTCTTGCATTGTGAGGAATTCAGTCCCGTATCTCTTTCATTTCTGTTTTCGGCATGGGCATTGTATCATTGCAAATGAAGTAGCTATGTACATTTAATATTCATTCCCTTATTCAGAATTGAATCAAAACTCGGTGATGGTAAACTTGAATATATATTGACTCTGGAAAGTGATCGCCTTCTTTTTCTCTTCACCCATACGTGCGGAGAAATTTTACAGTAGAAATAAATTTTTAAAAAAGGAGAGGGGCGTGATTGGGCTACTTTCCCTTGAACTGTCAATCTAAGTGCAGGCAGTGACTTTGCTGATGAGAAAATTATTTCCAAGATTGTACTTGTCAAGCAAAATAGAGCATAATGGTTGTTCACTTTGCATGGAACTAAAAAAGAAAAAGGTAGAAATAAATCAGATTTATTACACATAGCCACAAAGAACACCTAGTCAAGCTTATGTTAAAAAAAGAAAATTGTTTAATCATTTTAAACAGAAAATATAAAACCTCCAACATGTCAAGCATAACAAATAGTACCAACAATATAAGTGACCTAAATGAAGGACCCATATATAGGTCCCTTGTGGTATTCAATGTGAGATGGTAATGCATATTCGCCGCGATACCATAACTAAGTTGCTAGAAGTGTAAATGAGAACTGGAATTGTCAAGAAATTTAATGTTTCATGATAATGTGAAAATTGTCAAATCTCATAAAAGATCCCTTAGAAATTTTGCTAGATATTATTTTGGCCGAATTACGTCAGTGTAAAATGTACTGCCATGTCTCCCAATTCACTTTTAGTTAGAAATAGTGAGAGAGGTTTATGTAGTTTCGCCATTCTAACGATTTTCTAGCAGGGGAATTTTGAAATTTAACTGTATATGTTTTAAGTCTTTTCAGCGGCAAATTTAGGAACTTTTTATGCCCAGCGGTTTTTAGCGACCAGTCTAACAGTTTTAGGGAAATATCAATGGCAACACTGTGTCTGCATATATAAGCCTCTCCCACGTTTTATATACGCGAGTGTTCAGTGGTTCTATGTTGTGTCTCGTGTGGAGTATGTGCGAGGGTGTGATGTTAGGGTTGTGTATGTTTTCACCCCAGCGCAGAGCAATATTCTGGGCTGTTGTGTATTTATTATAGTGTGCAGTGGTACTAGGGTGTATTCGAGTATGGGTCTGAGTTTTAGCTTTGTTTATGCTGTGCATGGTGAGAATCGGTGGAGTTTGGCGAGTGTTGCATTTGCATGTGTCAATGTCAATCGTTGTTCCGTGTGTGATGTGTGATGTTATACCCTATATATTTAAGGAGAGGCAGAATAGTTTCCCTGTGTTTGCGTAAGGAATGTCTGTGTTGTGTCCTTGTATGTTTGGTGGATTGAGTCTGGCTACTGGGAGGATTGTGAATTTTTTTCTTCATTTCCTTTCGAATGTGTTTATGTTCGTGATGGCAGTGTCTGCGGCTCATTTCATTATGTTCTTGGACTTGCTGGGGTGTGATGATTTGACTGTCGTCGTCTGCGTATGATATAATTGCTGAAAGGCGCTGGTAGTGAAAGGTCTAATGTGTGTGTATAACATAAATACTGTTGGTGATGTAATCCCCCACTCATGGGGATGTGGAGCCCAAGGAAGTTTTCTAGGCGCATGTTTGTTGTTGAGGAAGTTACAGGAGAGGTGAGAGAGATTGGTGTAGGTCTATGATTTTGTGTTTGTGTGGCAAACTTTGTCGAAGGCCTTGGCATGTGTCCTAGGATAATGGGTGTCTGATTTTTGTTGGCGAGGCTGAGGACTATTTTCTCGTAAGCGAGGGTGATATTGACGGGAGTTGTGAATGCCGTTTGTGTCTAGATGTGTATTTAGTCTGTTTGCTATAATGCTTTCAAGCATTTCCTCCGGGACTTCGAGCAGATGGGGGCCATGTGTTGTGCTGACTTCCACTGGAGTGACTCTGAAGTGAACTTGTTATGAACACTGTTCGCTGTGTTCAATGTTCAGTTTGCGAGAGCCACGCCACCACTTCATTCTCCCCTGTGGTTGTTTTAGTATGTTGTGTATGTGTGTATTTTTATTTGTATTGTCAAGCCGTGACTGATTATGAGAATTAAGTGTATTGCCGAGCTCACTACGGCCGTCGAATGTCCATTTTAGTACACTGTGTTGGGTGGTTGTGAAGCGTTGCATGATTGAGTGGGATGGATTCATGGTTTCGGTCCTTGATTGTCTATGGAATAAAAATCCATTAGGTAATTCATTTGCACCATTTATTTGAGGATGGGGGCATGAATCTGGTCCAGCTCACCCGCCACTTGCTATTTGTGGATGGTATTGGCTATTACCATGTCTCCATAACGTGGGTTGGTATGAATCCACTTCATATTCCCAATTTTGGCAGTCTTGGTGGTCGAAGTTTTGTGAGGTGTTTTGGGGTGAACAGTCTAATGTCATATTATTATGCCTTAGTTACTGTGCTGTCCATTAGTCTGTCAGAACTGTCAGGCCTTGGGTAGCTTTGGGAAACTGTTCGATATTCTGTGTCAGATATTTTTATCCTTGCGTCTGCAGCGAGAGATGGATCTGTGCGATCAAATAAGTGTGTTTGGGTGTATTGCTGTTTTTCTTTGGGTCTGACCGATGCCTTTGTTGATGTTGCTTGGTGCTTCTGTGCTTTCTTCGTGTGTTTGCTGGTCTTGTTTGAGTTTCGTTTTTTTTTTTTTTTTTTTTTTTGTAAGGTTTTGCTTCACTTATGTGAGCTTTGAGGAGCTGTGAATCGTCCATTATTTGTTCCTTCAGATTGTCTAGGGCTGTCAGGTGCGAAGTAGGCTTGTGGGGTTGGCATGAGGGGAGATGAACCTCAGGATCGCCCAGGAGTTAGCTTCGTCCAAGCTGAGTGGCAGTATTTTCTTCCCAGTGCTTCTTTGGCATATTGTATGAAGCATTTTGTTGGTTAATTTTTTAAAAGTGGCCATGTACAAGTATGATGGTAATTTCTTTGAATAGGCTTTTGGAGAGGAGTAAGTGGACTGGTTCGTGTTTTTTTTTAACAGGTTCTGCACTATTGCCTGGACAACTTTTTGGTCTGCTTCTTTTATGGCCGGCTTTCTTTTTTTCTTTTTCTTTTTTTTCTTCCATGGCTTATTGTGCTGTCTTACTTCCTCTTTTCGTAGGAGACAGCTGTTTGAAAGGCGATGCATCTTTTGTGGCTGCTGGTACGGTTTCTGTTTTTTGAGTCACATTATGAGTAAATCGTTTTTTTTTTCTTTTCTTGCAGTCATTTCTGTTGTTGCCACAGCCATGGATGTTCATACACTGTCTCAAACTCGGTCTGCCATAGGGCGATAAGATGTGTGAACAGGTATATTCGTTCGTCTTTCATTTCCTTTGTTGATTTTTGCTATTTCCGGCTTGATCGTGTCTGTATCTTCAGTAACCACTTGCCTGTCTAGTCTTTTGAAAGCCAGAGTAAGTCTTGCCCTCATTTCTAATGGTAGCAGTGGGCTGAAGCCAAGGGAGACGAGGCGACTCTTGACTGATTGACGCACGAGGAAAGCCGAAGGAGGTTGCTTTGAGCGTTCTCGGGGCACCCCTTGAGGGAACTTGACCCCTATTGCCGTGAACTACAGCCAGGAGGTAGAAAATTCCTGCCTGCCTGTCCCTTTCAATACAAGTAGGGGACCGGTGTAACAGCCTAGACTATACCCCCGCCCGGAATATACCCGGGGTTATATATATATATATTTTTTTGTGTGTGTTTTATTCCTGGGGTATCATTTAGGTTAGGCCACTTTATACCCCCAGGTATAAAATGGACTGGACTAGAATATACTCCCCTAGGCCAGAATATACACATTCCTTTTGCATGTAACAACTGTCTTACCACAATGCTGGCTGGTATTCATGGTGCCGACCATGCAGTAATCTCACAACTGCATTGCGCATTGAATTCTACAGGCCAGCACATTAAACTCAAAACAAAAATATTTATTTACAGGCCTATGTTCTGGAAATATTGCGTCATCAATCATTGTTTTGAGAGTTTGACATGCACATCATTGGAAAGTACTGACCATTTATGAATTTGTTACTGATCTTCAGTTTTATGTGGCCTGTGTTATTATTATCATTATTATTGTTGGTATTATCATCACGAGTACAGTCAAGTACACAGAATTGTTTTGTAAATGTAAGACATGTATTTGTTTTTACTTGTATGTTTTCTTTTGGACGATTTTTTTTTCATAACTAAGGAGGCCAGACTCATGACGTCGCCTTTCTGCCTTCGTCCAAAAAATAATATATGTAAAGACGAACAACATGCTGCTTTAATGAACCCCACAAATACATGCCTTATATTTGCAAAACATTGCTGAACACTCCACTTAGCTTTTGGATGTTGTTTAAACATTCACCTGTTAGTGACCAGAATAAAAGTTTCTCAATAATTTTAATGATCACTATGCTTATTATTAAAATTATAATTGTTATTATAACCATGGCAAATATTTCTATGTTAAGTTTAATAGGTGGCCTGTAGAATTCAGAGCACAATGCACAATGAATATCTGCAGTTGTGAAATCAATGCATAATCGGCATTAATACCAGCCATTATCTTCTGGCAACTCAGTAATATAAATGTTACATGCAAAAGGGAAGGGGTATATTCTAGCCAAGGGGGTATAAACTGGTCTAGTCTAAATTATACTCCGGGCATACAACAGCCTAGCTTAAAATATCCCAAAAGTGGCCTCATGGGAGCTGTAGGCACTCGGAATCGGCATTAGAACGACGCTCTTGGGATGGAGCTGTTGGGATTGCCAAAAGGTAAATAATACCGTAAGCGTGAGATGACACACACGACCACGAGGCACCACCTGTGCAGGTTGCGGGTCGTGGCAGATACAAATCATTCACAGCGATCTCTTTGGATGGTCGATCGTTTTCGTTAGGAAACTGACACATGGGCAGTGAGAGGGGGGCAAAATTACCAGTAGTGGACAAGGATTTGAAAACTGAAAACAATTGTGGACAAAGTGCTGGGCATTGTAAAAAAAAGAAAAAAAGCTACGTAAGATTACACTGATTTAGTGATGAGTGTTGATTATTGTTAGACAGCGATTCTTTAGGAATTCACTCCTGCTGTACAATCGGGGATAGATGAAAAGTTAGTATCGCAAACAGCACAGTTCTTGCAAGTGTTCTCAACATCTGGTAATGCTGTGTTATGTGAGATTACCAAGAACTGTTAATGCTTGCGTTAACTAAGCTAAATGTTTCATTATCCTTGGTTAAGAATGTGAGTCATAAAAAAAACTTAATATAGTAAAAACACAGTTGGCATTGTAAGAGACTACAAGGTCTTCACGCATTACATAACAACGTGTCATTATTCCAATCAGTGTGATACAGACTTTCTGCGTGAGACGGAATTTCCATGTCTCGCCGTCTCCCATTCCTTTAGTATTGCTGTTACTGTTTTTATTATTATTATTATCATTGTTATTATTTTTGTTTTTGTAATTACAATCATTATTATTATTATCATTATCTTTATCATCATTATTATTAGTATAATAATAATCATTATTACTATTTCATTATTATCATTTATTTATATATTCTTTAAAGTCTTTATTACTAAATTAATTATAATAAGCATTATCATAAGTAGTAATGATGATGGTGATGATGAAGACGATGATGAAGACGATGATGATGCCAATGATAATAATAGTAATAATACATACGTCTGTTTATACTGAATTCTGGTAAGACAGATTCTTGTATTTTTATTTATTCATTTGTTTTATTTTAGAAAAGCGTCTCCTGTAATATTACTTTACATAACACAATGATTATTTCTACAGCAGTAACACAGCAGCGGCTTTTGGCAACTCATATGATACAGAGCGTCAGGTGCAGGGCATAAAATATTTTTTTAAAATGCGTAGTCATCATACAGTTTCGTTTATCAGAGGGATAATTCAAACAAAATATAAAAATCAATGTAAACAAAATTAATTACTTATTTAAGCTATGAATGCATTACTCATTAGGGCGTTAATCAGTGAATAAATTAATGACACATATGATGTTCGCTTTAAATGCTAATATCCTTATGAGTATCAACATCGTGGAAGCTTCAAATAAAATGGAAAAAAACGACTACAATGCGACTCACATTGCTTATTAACATATTCTTTGCTTCATACAGACTTTAGAAAATTGTAAATGTATTTCTCACCCTCTTTTTTCTCTCTTTTACTTATTATACATCAATTGTTCTTCATATTGAAAAGGGATGTAATGTTACAAGACGTTTTGCATCTTTTCGTGTCCACCGCGTGAGCTCCATGTTCACATTTAGAATCCTAATGCCATGCAAGGTAATTCTAATAATCGTATGCATTTGATAGACTTATTGCCCGTTATATATCAAGAAATCAAGAACCGAGTAAATGAGGCGGCACAGAATGATTTTGAAGATATCCAGTCTCACCAAAGTTAATACCACATGTGGCTCGGATTCGTTAGAAATTCTTACCATGTGTCAGAAACAAACAAACAAAAAAAAAAAAAACGAGTGATTCATAACTATTATAATGTATATCCCGAACTTAGATGTGCTTGAAATGCATCGAAGCCGGAGTATACCACTTTGCACTATGTTTCAACAGGTTTCAACAATGTGCGCTTGAAGGCCAAATGTGCCTGTGGTTGTTTCAAAGCGTTAAGGGTTTCACAGATGCTACAAAAAGGCCTATAATGATGAAAATGAAGAAAATAGTAAAAACTAGAAAAGCACTCAGAGAGTGCAGACCTCCGCCAAGGTGCGTATATAATATATATACTTTGGTTGAGGATGAAAAGGATCAGACAACTTCTTCAAAAAAGAAAAAAAGGCCCTCATACACAATTAAAAGGCAACAGTTTGCTTTTAATTGTGTATGAGGGCCATTTTGTCTCAAACATTTTTATGGGAAAATAAATATCAGTGCGAATTTGGGGTTAAAGTTAAAAAAATAGCCCTCATACACAATTAAAAAGCTAAACTTCGCTTTTTAATTGTATATGAGTGTGTGTCTTTTGTATGCCACGCGGGAAGCGGCCAAGTCTAGGAACACCATAATCATTGTTCGGATGTACTTCCACCGCTGCTGCATCCAGACGGTGATTATGTTATTTTTATGAGTGTGACATGCGGGACGCTGCCAAGTCTAATTAAGAACATCATAATTATCGCTCGGATGTACTTGCACCGCTACTGCATCCACAGTGACACCCGCGACACGTCCAAGTCCAAAAATATCATGATTATCTTTCGGATGTACTTACACCGCTGCTGCGTCCAGACGGTAATTCGGAATGTCACCAAAATTTAATCAGTTCTAAGTTAGTCCCTTTCTGACTTGTCCCCAAAATTTCGATGAAATGAAATCCGGCCAGCACTTTTTGAGCTACGCTGCTAACAGACCAACAAACCAACGCCGTCAAAATCATAACCTCCTTGGCGGAGGTAATTAGTATTTTTGCACGCACACACACAGCATAGGTTTCCTAAATGTGTTCTACAGGAATATTACATAAATAAACAAATAAATACACACACATATATATATATATATATATATATATATATATATATATATTATCCCAATTCTGGACACAGTAAATAATCTACAAAAGGCCGGATGGAAGCGCTTCACACTTCTGTCCCCAGTAGCTCCCTTCCTGTAGAAAGTTCCTCCCAGAGCAGATGCAGGTGTCCCCATTGCTTGTACTTCTGATACTCCAGTGGGCAGAAGCAAGCACCTGCCTCGAGGGGAACTGCCGCATGGAAGGAGATGTAAGACAGAGATAGAGACGACAGCACACAGACGGAGACTCACAAGGTCTAAGCATACTCCCACTCCCACCGTAAGGCTGGAGATCCCTTGCGGGTTTCGCATCTACCTTCCACAATCAATCTATAAGCCAAGACCCTTTTTATTACCCGCTTTGAGACTTCCCTCTTGATGGCGGCTACCCTGTTTTGATCTTCCCCAGTGAGAGCTACCCCGGCACGGCCTATCCCAGTACAGGATACCCAGAGTGCACCGGGTATCAAATGCTTTGCTTGACTCGTATTATATACATACGTATGCATGTGTGTGTGTGTGTGTGTGTGTGTGCGTGTGTGTGAAGAGAGAGTATCGAGGAGTGGCTAAGAGCGCAAGATAACGATAATTTATCTCATAGAAACTGCCATTAAAATAAGTTAAAAAGCTGAGGTGATAATATTTTAGAAAATTTATACCTGCCACGAAATCCATCGTAAATCCTGATACACCTGTCAGTGGTTATTGTGTAATTGATGATCACTGAAAAACTCGCGTTGAAATTTAAAAATTAATGTTTTGAATGAATGCACTGATTCAAATTCATTACACTATCTCCCCTATATTAATATCCTAATTGTGATAACCTATATTTTTCCACTTATCTAAAAATAATGCAGAAAACCTATTGATCACTTTTATATGTTCTGGTACTTCTGTGAATCCACACACACACACACACACACACACACACACATGGCAATTTAGTCTGAATAATGTTCATCCACATTATATTTATGCAGGATCTCTCTCTCTCTCTTTCATTCTGTGGATGATATGTTTATATTGTGTTATTGTAACATTCTCTGGTTCATTATAATTGTTTAATATGTTAGTTACCCCCTTCGTGCTCAGAACACTACGTTTTCAGTGTCTCCCGTCAGTTACTTTGTTATTACTTCTGAATTAAATAGCTATACTTTTGTTGACTAGAGCATAGGTTTCCTAAATGTGTTCTACAGGAATATTACATAAATAAATAAATAAATACACACACATATATATATATATATATATATATATATATATATATATATATCCCAATTCTGGACACAGTAAATAATCTACAAAAGGCCGGATGGAAGCGCTTCACACTTCTGTCCCCAGTAGCTCCCTTCCTGTAGAAAGTTCCTCCCAGAGCAGATGCAGGTGTCCCCATTGCTTGTACTTCTGATACTCCAGTGGGCAGAAGCAAGCACCTGCCTCGAGGGGAACTGCCGCATGGAAGGAGATGTAAGACAGAGATAGAGACGACAGCACACAGACGGAGACTCACAAGGTCTAAGCATACTCCCACTCCCACCGTAAGGCTGGAGATCCCTTGGGGGTTTCGCATCTACCTTCCACAATCAATCTATAAGCCAAGACCCTTTTTATTACCCGCTTTGAGACTTCCCTCTTGATGGCGGCTACCCTGTTTTGATCTTCCCCAGTGAGAGCTACCCCGGCACGGCCTATCCCAGTACAGGATACCCAGAGTGCACCGGGTATCAAATGCTTTGCTTGACTCGTAATATATACATACGTATGCATGTGTGTGTGTGTGCGTGTGTGTGAAGAGAGAGTATCGAGGAGTGGCTAAGAGCGCAAGATAACGATAATTTATCTCATAGAAACTGCCATTAAAATAAGTTAAAAAGCTGAGGTGATAATATTTTAGAAAATTTATACCTGCCACGAAATCCATCGTAAATCCTGATACACCTGTCAGTGGTTATTGTGTAATTGATGATCACTGAAAAACTCGCGTTGAAATTTAAAAATTAATGTTTTGAATGAATGCACTGATTCAAATTCATTACACCATCTCCCCTATATTAATATCCTAATTGTGATAACCTATATTTTTCCACGTATCTACAAATAATGCAGAAAACCTATTGATCACTTTTATATGTTCTGGTACTTCTGTGAATCTACAGCGATTCTTAACCCAAGTCAGGGTGTGCTTCCCTCTCCTCGTGACGCAGTATTCGTCAGTGTACGATCTCTGGTGTTTTATCTGTGATTGAGCATATGTAGGTGTGTGGTGTATGCTGGTAGCTGACACACAGACGCACACACACACACACACACACACACACTGACACACACACATACACACACACACACACACACACACACATACACACACACACACAAACACACACACGCACGCGCATACACACATACACAAACAAACAAACAAATAAACCTATACATCAAAGATCCTGTAATATAAAGAGGCACAACTCGATTTTTTTGGCCACAAGGAATACTGTACCACTTATTTTGGCCACAAGGAATACTGTACCACTTATTTTGGCCACAAGGAATACTGTACCACTTATTTTGGCCACAAGGAATACTGTACCACTTATTTTGGCCATAAGGAATACTGTACCACCTATTTTGGCCACAAGGAATACTGTACCACTTATTTTGGCCATAAGGAATACGTTACCACTTATTTTGGCCATAAAGAATAATGTACCACTTATTTTGGCCATAAGGAATACTGTACCACTTATTTTGGCCACAAGGAATACTGCACCACTTATTTTGGCCACAAGGAATACTATACCACTTTAGCTACCTGGCCGTTGAGATTTCCGAACCTCCTCGATGCCGTCGCTCTGAGCTACGTCACAAGAGAAACGTCAACATTCATACATTTGCAACATTTTTGTGCTTTCTGTAGTGGTCCATTTCTTCCTCTCTTGTCCCCGGTGTCTCAATGAATGAAAAAGTAACATAACTTTTTCGATAATAAACCATGAACATCTTGATATCACGCAAATTCCAAGACGACGAACCATTCTAAATCCGAACAAGTAGAAATTTCCTGGGTCACTGTCGTTCCAGCTTGTTCGAAACATCGAACGACTCTGAGTTTCGTGATGAAGCCTACACATTTTTTGTAAAGAGAAATTCGTTAGAAACCGGATGATGTCACATAGATAGTGATATTGTATATTCGTGTAATTCAGTTCAGTAAGTAACTGTTAATAATGATGAATGTAATAAAAATAAGTAAACAAATGTATTGGATATGCAACATAAACAGATTCTGGGATTGGTCTTTTTGTAGTAAGGTCTTACACACACCACACATAAAACCATCAACGTTTTACATATTCAGTATCAATTCATACAAAACATTATGAAATGTCACGGGTATAATTAACCGCATCAAGGCAGCCCAGCTTCCGCATACACACTAAAAAAAAAGCCTATATATGTGTTTTGTTTATGTGTGTGTGTATATATATACATATATATGTATATATGTATGTGTGTGTGTGTGTTTGAAGATATATTTGAAAAAAAAAAAAAAAAAAAAAAAAAAAAAAAAAAAAAAAAAAAATATAATATATATATATATATATATATATATATATATATATATATATATATATACAACTATACATACATATCTGACATTTTTTCTCGGAAATTATCACCAGTCGAAATACGAAACCTGTGGCACAGTCAATTGCATGTGTCTCAGAGCATTAAATCACTCTAAATTAATACCGTTGCAACCCAGATGTTTTAATCGACGCCAGGGGAACCGAAACCTATCGGTCGCGTCTCATTTCCTTCTCCACGCTTCATAACAGAGCACGCCGAGTAAGCTCCTTGTGACTTCACTCACCCAGGCCGCCGGTTCTTCGACTGCAAGGAACGTTTCTGTGACTCGTCTTGGAATGGCTACCCGCTGCGTCTTCACGTTCCTCGTTCCGTCTTCTCGAATTGGGATTTTTTTTTTTTTTCGGTGACGTCTTGAGCTTGGGGGGGGGGGGGGGGGGGGAGAGAAACCGGGAACCACATGGAATCGGGACTAAGGAGTGTCTGGCGAACTTGAAGGAATTCTGTGCTTGGCGAAGAAATCTTGGCTCAGCTGCGGAGAATGGTCTGGCAAGTTGTCATGATCCAGCTGTCGGTTGTATTACATGTGAACGACCACGGTTCTTTGACAGCCTTATGGAATCCTTGTCCCTGTCAACTAAACACCGGTGATCTTCTCTGACTGCATTGTTTAGAAAAGCCTGCTGAATCTTGGAAACCATTTGAGTTTGCGTATCGCCAGTTATTTCGTCTCAATTAGATAAAAAA